GCAGCTTTTTTCATATCTTCAGTGAAATCTCCAGATACCTTATCTCCACTTAACTATTGTGCAAATAAAATTTTAAAGTAATCTTATTTTTAATGCATCATAAAAACTGTATTTGGGCAAGATCATTTACAAGGACAGTTGAGGGCACCATCGGCTCAGACCTGTGAAGTAATTATCATTAAGCTGCAGAACTTCGAAATGCAAGGTTTAATAAATGGCTTTATGTGGCCCAGTTAAACATTTTAGGCAGTGTTAGGGTGGATATTTATTCTTAAATTTTGTAACTTCTTTTTTACGTGTCATTATTTTACATAAACTTTGAAATGAATATGTAACTTTTTTAGTAATTATATATAATGGCTGATTTTTAAAAGCCATTTCAAGTTCTATCATGTTACAGTCTATAACATCGTTGTAACTAAAAAGTGCATCTTCCTTACTATATTTCTCTGATCAACAAAATTGTTTAGTTTAATGAAGCTAGAAGAACTCTGAATTTGGATAAAAAAGCAAAATTTAAAAGTACTCAAATTTCAGCACAGAGATTAAACCCCAAGGAGATCAAGACATAAAGGAAATCAACCCTGGATATTCATTGTAAAGACTGATGCTGAAGCTGAAGCGCCAATCCTTTGGCCACCTGACATGAACAGCTGGCTCTCTGGAAAAGACCTTGATGCTGGGAAAGATTGAAGACAGGAGGAGTAGGGGACGACAGAGGATGAGATGGTTAGATGGCATCACCAACTCAATGGACATGGGTTTGAGCAAACTCTGAGAGATAGTGAAGAACAGGGAAGCCTGGTGTGCTGCAGTCCATGGGGTCACAAAGAATCAAACATGATTGAGCAACTGAAAAACAACAAATTTCAATGTATCATTAAAGAAACCTTAAAGTTAATTGAATAGAATGGTTCACATTTTTTTTTTTTCAGTTTTGGAGATTGTATCGTGAGGATATACATTAGTTATAGATGCTTACAAATGCTTTTATAGCTTAGAAAGTTTATTATTTTATTTCATGTATAGAAGTCTTTTATATTTATTCTTTAAGAAAACTAAAGAACCCTGTTTTTGGACATTGATTTATTCAGCGAACATGGCTGAACATTTGTTAAGTGCAGAGAGTTGAAAGGTGCGTTAGTTTGTTGTCTGCCCTTAAGAATTACACAGGAGAGGAAGTAAAACAAGCACAAAACACTTAAATGGTAATGTTGTAAGTGCAGTGTTATAGGAGTGAGCAGAGTTGTTTATGAGCATGATGGATTGGTTGGATGAGTTAGAAGGAGCTTCACTGAAAAGTGGATCCTGTCTCTCAACGTGTATCTCATAGATGGGTTCAGAGGCAGTTTAAGCAGGCCCCCCTCCCACTGCCATGAACAATAGTATTGACTTGTGAAAGGCAGTATGTCACACAGAGAATGATGAGTGGATCAGTGTGGTGGTATTGTGAATAAGGGAATGGTAGGAGAAAGGCTGGGAAGAGAGAGCTTGAGTTTCCTGGGGTTCAAATTTGGCCTCATTTTATCATTTGCTTTGTGATATTATATGTTATTCAGCTCCTCTATAGATCTCAATTTTCTCATCTATCAGTTCAGTTCAGTCGCTCAGTCTTGTCCAACTCTTTGCGACCCCATGGACTGCAGCACGCAGTCCATAGGCTCACCTATAAAAGGGGGTAGTGATTGTGTTGTGAGAATTTAAAGAGCTCATCCATTTAAAGTAATTAACACAATGCATAGCATGTAGTATCTATTCATGCAATGATAATTGTTTACTGCTATCCGAGGAATTGATGCTTCCAAACTGTGGTTCTGGAGAAGACTCTCGAAAGTCTCTTAGACTGCAAGGAGATTAAACCAGTTGACCCTCAAGGAAATCAACCCTGAATATTCATTGAAATGACATGCTGAAGCTCCAATACTTTGGCTACCTGATGACTTATTGGAAAAGATCCTGATGCTGGGAAAGATTAAAGGCAAGAGGAGAAAGGGGTGACAGAGGATGAGATGGTTGGATGGCATCACCAACTTAATAGACATGAGTTTAAGCAAACTCTGGGAGATAGTGAAGGACAGGGAAGCCTAGCGTGCTGCAGTCCATGGTTGCAGAGTTGGGCATGACTTAGTGAGTGAACAGCAACAACAATCAACTGTACAGAAGCTAGGCCTCAGGCTTCACTAGATTTCAGTTTCCTTAAGACCATGGAGAAGTAAGTGACAGAGTCCTAACTTAAACCACATCATCTAACCAGTTCTTTTCCCAGTAAGCCACAGGCTCACTGGCTTCTAGCACAGTTTTCTGTTTTTCCTTGCATTGGAACCATAGTTGTTTAGTTAGCAGAAAGTGAAGCTAGTCTATAGGATAGTCAACTAAACTAAAAAAAGATGCTCTGGGCCCTGTGATTTTATGAGGAGAATGGAAAACATGGGCTGTCAAGTGAAGTTGGATTGGGAGAATTTCTGCTGTTAGGTTGTACAGTGTCAGCTGCCTCTTACGATACATTAAGTTTATCCAGTGGGATAGAATCTGAGATTCCTATTCCGATGTTTAAAGTCTAGGACTGCTCAGTCATAGAGATTTAGAGATAGGTGATCAGTATGCACTCCTCTCTGCTTGTTTGTTTGGCTTTTTGTTTGGTGTGTTTTTCAATCAGTGCTTGAGTTAGGGCACACTTTGTCATTGTTTAGTTGCTAAGTTGTGCCCGACTCTTTGTGACCCCATGGACCGTGGCCCACCAGGATCCTCTGTCCATAGGATTTCCCAAGCAAGAATACCGGAGCGGGTTGCCATTCCTTTTCCAAGGGATCTTCCCCACACAGGGCTTGAACCTGCTTCTCCTGCATCGGCAGGCATATTTGTTACCACTGAGCCACCTGGGAAGTCCAGGCTGCACTTAGACGGGTGCAGTAGGAGTGGATGAATGGATGTTCCCAAAGCACTGCCATTTGTCACTTTTCCTGTTGCTTCAAGAAAACTTGTTTTCCAGTCTTGTCAGGAAGGGGAGAAAAAACCCCCAATACGTGGGTTGCTCAACTTTAATTAAGTATAATTGGTAAAAAAAATAAAAATAAAAATAAAAAAATAATTGAGTATAATTGGACACACATGTAGTAAAAGCCTGTCAGTTTTTTTAATACAAAAATAATGAATATTTTATATTTATTTCTGAAACCACTTTGTTTTTATTCTGCTACGTCTCAGTGCGGTAGCACACCAGTTGTTTTATTTTTGCTAACCCTAACAAAGCAGCATGTTTTGCTTGGCTTTTTAAAAAGGCAGTAGTGCGTGTAGTTAAGACTTCCTTTACTTTATCTGATGAAGTCATCTCTGAGGAATGTCTTTTTCTGTAAATCCACTAAGGAAACGGGATTTAAGACGAGGTCACCTTTTAAAATCCTGGTTTTCTATTTTTAAACAATGCATATATAGTTCTGTGATTTGTCATGTGTATTTTTGTGGTTCTTTTTAGGTTGTTCTTAAAATATTAATGGTGAGAGATAATACAGATTTAGGAAAATCTTTGTACTCGAAGAATACCTTTTATGTATTGTTCCATTACTGCTCTTGAGGAAAACAAACTCTGAAATGAGATTTTTAGTCTGTTCTCCTCCTCCCGCACTTCCTTTTCCCCATCTCTGTTTCTCTTTTCTACCCCTTCTATAAATTTTTGGGAACGAGGTATGTACGGATGGATCAATTTATTTAGGACCGATAACCCTTCTGACTGAACAATGTCCCTAGTCATCATTGATGATCATATACTTTAGTCATTGGTTTGTTCACATATTCATTTGTTTATTCTTCAGTTGTTCAGTTATTCAGCAAACATTTACAGGTATCTGTATGTATCAAATCCTCCATTAAATGCAGTGAAAGAAAACAAGGTTTACCTGTTTTATCACAGCCCCTATGAGTCTTTTATTACTAATGTAGTTTAGTTAACTGGTAAGTAACCCTGTTTTAATCTTCATTTAATATAATAATCATCAGGTGTTTTTTTTTAATGTGTGAGACATAGAGCTATGTGCCTAGAAATGGCCACAAATATAAAGAATGTATAGAACAGAACTTGTCTCATATATGATGGCTGAAAATGGATTTGTACAACAGTAGGATATCACTTTTGTAACAGATCAACTGGGTAGGCCTCCTTGGTAAATGGATTACTGTTGAGAATTACATCATCCATTGTTACATACTGTTTTCACTCTGGAATTCAGGAAACCCATGATCTTTTGAATGTGATCCTCTGCCTACTCTGCGAAACACCTGATTTCCTTTCTAAAGAATGAAACTGTTAAGACCCCTTTTTGGTTCCTCCAACTTCTCTCTCATTCTTATTTCTACTATTATGTTTACTTTTCCATTTTACTACCGTAATTGTCAATAACATGCAAAGAAGCAAAACAATAACAGTAAAAGCAAACAAAATTTTGAAAAATTTTCACGTATTTTTCTTCTGGTGCATCTCACGGCTTGTAGGCTCTTAGTTCCCTGACCAGGGATTGAACCCAAGCCCTAGCAATGAAAGCTCCAAGGCCTAACCATTAAGCAGCCAGGGAATTCCCCCAATTTTTTTCATGTTTTAAAAAAATATCTCTGTGTCCCGTGCCTACGAGGAGAGAGTGAGAATGAGGTTCTATTGGTGCTGAAAGCAAATTTTAGTAATATTTAGTGACATCTGATGGTTGCTACACGGTGATTGGCATACTGCAAATCTTATGTGTAACTGAGTTGACTTACACTTACATATTTTGCTTTTTACACTAATATTTTGAATAATAACTCCTCTTAATTTTATTGTGATTTTGGTGTTAAATTTTCTTTTCTTTTTTTTTTTTTAAATAAGAACAAAGACTATTTCAAACAGGTTCAGTGGTATGTCTACTACAGCAAAGTCTGGTTGTAGCAGTTTCCTTTCAAATCTGCACTGACATATAAATTAGACATTATTTGGGAATGATTAATTTCTGGTAAAATGTAAATTCAATCCAACATGATGCTAATTTCTACATTTATTGTAGGCTCTATTTCAGTACTAGAGGTTAAATTTTCATCACCAAAAAATGAGAATAACCTTACAGCTACTACTAAGGTAATGAGCTGTGAAATTACTTTCCCAGTATTGTTCTGAAAATATACCCCTAGGTTGTTAAGAGAAATTCCAACTTCATCCAGATCTGTTATTTAATTCTTCAGTCATCATCTACTGTTGGCTTGATTGTCGCTCCTCTTCTTATTTGACTCCAACCAATTAAACGCCAGTGTTTCTCAACTCTTCGGCTAAGTGCAATTTTTTCTCCTACTTCTGTGCACACAGGATTAGTCAAGACGGTTTTGCCCAAATCAGCCTTGACTGCACTAACTCTTCCTCCTGTTGACAGGGATCCTATATTCACCATAAGCACTTCATTCTTAGACAGCTTTTGTACTTTCGCTGCTTTCTTGTCTCCTTCAGTGCGAACACCTAGAAGCCGTCTAAGCAGGAAATAGGAAATTTCCAATTCTGTGAAGATCTCAGGTAAAGCTCCAACTGCACCAAGTACTTGCCCCACCATTCTGTCAGCCCGGCACAAAGTGGGGTCAATTTTTGTTCCAACTCCAATAAGACCTCCTGGGGCAGCATATTGAAGATCATTATGCTCTGCGAAAAGCGATACAATTTTGGAAAAGATAGGTTTACACATGAGTTTTCCTTCACTGTCTTTGGAAACAATACCAGGCCTGACTTCTATCTCCTGGCCCACCTTTAACACTCCTTTTAGAATACTACCACCAGCTACACCCCCCTTAAGGTCATCAACTTCACAGCCAGGTTTGTTGACATCAAAGGATCTAATAACAATAAGTCTGTGTTCTGAAGTAAAGTCTCTTGGGGGTACTGGAATTTTCTTTACTATGTACTCACAGACAACTTCAATATTGTATTTTAGCTGAGCAGAAATTGGGATAATAGGAGCGCCTTCTGCTACTGTACCTTGAACAAATGCAAGGATCTGTTCATACTGTTCTTGAGCCTGGCTTTCTTTTACCAAATCAATTTTATTTTGTAGAATCAAAATGTGCTTCAGTTTCATGATTTCTATAGCAGCCAAGTGTTCAGATGTCTGAGGCTGAGGACAAGACTCGTTACCAGCTATCAACAGAAGAGCGGCATCCATCACTGCGGCACCGTTCAGCATAGTAGCCATCAGAATATCGTGGCCAGGACAGTCAACAAAGGAAACATGCCTGACTAATCTGAAGTTCCCTTTGGTCCCTGGAATGTCTGTGGGAAACTCATCGGGTGTGCTGCTTCCACAGGATCTATAACATTCTGGCCGAGGACAACTTGGGTCGTCAAGTTTATAAATCTTAGAATTAGCATAGCCAAGTTTGATTGTAATATTTCTTTCCAGTTCATTTTTGAAATGGACAGTGTGGACTCCAGAAATAGCTTTTACAACTGTAGATTTCCCATGAGCTACGTGACCCATTGTACCTATATTAATTGTGGCTTGTCTGCTGATAACTTCATGTGAAAGTGGCGTCAACTTGGAAACATCCAAAGTAGCGAGATCTTGCCGAGAAAGGTGTGGCTGCCCTAAAGTCACACCAGCCTCGCCCCCCCCCACCATCTTGCTCGGAGAGCATGTTAAATTTTGTCTTTGCAGTATGACTAACATAATTTAATACTCCACTAACTTTAAATTCTGTGGTAGTTTTTCAAAGGTGAATGATGAAAATAAGAATAATACAGATATTTCAGGGTTTCTTCTTTTTATAAAGTTTTAATTGGGTTATCTTATTTCTGTATACCCTAATTCAGAATCCAAATGTGGGTAAAACTCATATTTAGAGTAGTTTCCTGATATATTTTAAAAATGCTTATTTGAAGCAGCATCACTGTGACTTGCCTGATTTTTTAGTTTCATTATCTTTTTTGCTTGTATCTTAAAAATATATCCTAGACAGCTTTAATTAATTGATCCTGTCATGTCTATATTTTCTGATTTGTCTTATAGTCTCTTTATTTTCTTTAAATTATTTCTTTGTTCCCTTCCCATTCCCATTCTTCCACCTTTTATGTCTTCTGTCTTTTTGTGTGAGGTATCATTACCGTGAAGGTGCTTTGATTACTAGAATAGTTTGGTCTTAAGAAATCACTAATGTACTGTTTTCTTCTCTACATCTGATATGGAATTATTAGTATTTTGTTTGTTTGGTTTTTGTTTTTGTGGTTTTTCTGAAGAGTGGACCCTGGCAGAACTTTTCTCCTGAATTGAGATAGATATAGTGACAACAGTCAGAAAGTTGTTTTTATGATCTAGGCTCAATTATCTCTTCTTTTTAGAACATAGTTCTTTATAAATTTATCTTTGTCCTTTTACTCTGATGGGCTTCCCAGGTGGCTTACTGGGTAAAGAATCTGCCTGTGATGCAGGGGATGCAGGAGACCTGGGTCGGGAAGATTCGCCGGAAGAGGACATGGCAACCCACTCCAGTATTCTTACCTAGAGAATCCTGTGGACAGAGGAGACTGGCAGGCTACAGTCTATGGGATCACAAAGAGTCAGACATGACTGAAGTGACTGCGCACACTGTTGGTCTTAAGGCAGTTAGCTCTGACACGTCTAACTTTTGTACTATTACATATTAAAGAGCATAGATTTTCAAATAAATTCATAATTTCATTAGGGTGAATTTACAGAAATGGAATTTTTATGTCAAGGTTAAGAACCTTTTTATGGATCTTGGAATATAAACTCAAATTGCTTTCCAAAATATTGTCATTTACAATGCTAACAAGAGGCACACGTTTTACTTCAGTGTCAAGTCTTCATTATTATTCCTGTTTTAGAGAAACTGAGGTTGGAGAGATTAAATAATGTGCCCAGAACTACCACCTTCGTATAGATACAGCTAAAATTTGCAGCCTCGTTTTGTTAACGAGGCCTCTTAGGCCTGGTGTTAGGAGTATAATTCTGGAGCCATACTACTTGGGACTAAATCTTGGCTTCAGTGCTTGACTATGTAATTCTGGGCAGGTTTCATTGTTAGTTTTCTCATCTCTAAAGTAGGAATAATAATGAAAATAGTATGTTTCATAGGATTATTGTGAGGATTAAGTATATCTCTCTCTATATATAGCTTAGAAAAGCATCTGGTAAATATAATTGCTATATAAAAGATTTTTATCATTATCACCATTATTCTTTCTAAAACAACATAGGCATTTGGGTAATCAGATTACTGAACCATTCAAACCATGGTTTGTGTGCATGAAAGAAAGCCAGCCAGTTAGCCAAACAGCTTAGAACCCACATCTTTGGCTTTTATATAATTATGATGTTTTACTAATAGCCTTCTTATTTTGATATACTAGATGAGAAAGAACTAGTCTAACTTAAAAATGTCTATTGTAAACATATGGATTTGTCCTTTGTAACATTTCCTTGCCAAATGTTTGGATGGGTCATAGAGTAGTAGTTTGCATTTTAAACAGCAGTTTCATTTAAGCTATTTAGTAATGGGTTATACTGCCTAAGATCTTTTGCCAATTAATGAGAATGGTCTGAGGCCTCCTTTTAAATAAGGGATGGAAAAAATAAAACCTTTTAATTAGGGATAGACTTTGCAAACTATTTAAAATTTTCTTTATTATTTGTAGCCCCATGGCCAAATACCAACTGCCCACACATCTTCTTAATATGAATCTATTCTTGGATAATTAAAAATCCTTTGGGCAGATTTATATATTAAGAGACTGTTAGAGCTAGAAAAGATTTTAGAGATTCAAAATCTTTTTTTCACAGGTGATGAAACTGAGGCCCACAGGACACAACAGCCTGAGGTCTGGTGGCTTGCCTGTCACACTCACTTTGGAGAATTTGGCTCATGACAAACGGAAGCCACTTTGACAGGTGGTAGATCTTCAGCTTTAGGATTTCTAAGGTTGGTGGGAGGATTAGAAGCATTTATGGTCTGCAAGACATCATAAAGATGATATTTTATTTTAGCTTGTGTTGAGTTAAATATAGATCAAAACTCCAGAAAGTGGTATCACTTTGGCCATTAATGTTTGACCAATAAACAATGGAAAACAGTGACTCTATGAAGTGAATTGGATTGCATGGATTAACAAGGCTATTGAGAAATAAGATTTTCATTTGATGTGTGAGAACCTTCACAGCAGCTCCAGACCTCACGTATCCTTATGTTCCTCTTTTATTGACTCATTATTTGCCTTTTCTGTCAATATTTCTGGTTCTAATCTGTACCTTACATTTAGTCCTGTTGGTTTATGTGTTTGTATCCTTAGCACCTGTATGCTAATAACAACTAGCATGCAGATGCTCTCAAAAATGATTTTATGACCTAGTAATGGTGTATTTTCATTTTTAAGTGTCACTGTTTCCTGACTTGGCCATGTACTCCAGCCTTTCTCAGTTTGTGCTTAGAGAATTAAGCCTAAACTTACAACCCAAATGTTGTAGGCATTCACTGTGGTTCGTGGATTATCTTCTCTGATGGACATCTGGATTGGTAAATAGCCATGTACAATTCTTGGGAGAAGTGAGAAAGTGATCACTTAGATTATTTTTTCTACTACTTAGTTATCTTGGCACACTGGTTGAGAAAGTCTGGTTTATTCACTTTATCTGACCCTCTAATACCCTTCTTAAAACTTGCTTTTCTAAGAAGTGTCATCATTGATTGACTTCATTTGGATACCAGTTTTTGTTTTTTTTTTCCCACTCCACATTCCCTTACGTTGTGTAGACTTAAATTTTTACTAAGGGTGGTTGCTAAGTTTGCTTTTTTGCTGAATAAGTTACAGAAAATTGGCTTATTCTTTTCAAAGAACCAGCAGTAATTGTGTAATGGAGTTCTCATGTTTCTGTGTTTCTCTCCTGTAAAGCCTTTACTACTTGAATGTCAAACTGGTCACTCCTTGGGTGGGCTTGTATGTCATGGTCATAGCATGTCTTACATACCAAAATATCATCCATGTGTGTTATCTGTGTCACTGCTGGAGAAAGGAGTGCTTTCTGTACGTCCCTTCCTGAGAGAGAAAACAGGAAGCCTGTGTGTGATGCCTCCAGTCTTCACGTACTAAGTTGTTTTTCTCTTGCTGATTGCTAGAACCAACTATAGTCCTGAGTGCAGCAGTCTCCCTTATGGTGAGTCACCACGTCTGGGCGTGGTCTTGGGTCTCCTAAAGCAGGAGTTTACTGTGGGATATTGCACTGATGCTCAGCATGTTACAGTTTGCAGTTATAACTAATTCAGCAGTGTTTTGAGATGTGTATTGCTGTTTTTATTTTATTTTTGATATTTTTGATGATCAGCGCATAGCCATCATCCCAAACAAAAGACAGGTATACTTTGAATGTCTCACTGTTAAAGGTATAGTGTAATGAGGATAAGTTTGTTACCAGATTTGGTGGCAGAGCATTGTGGTTATTATCCCCTGGCACTGTGCCGAAAGAATACAACACTCTTTGACGTAACCAGAGTGAGCACTCATCACAGGTTTCTCAATCCACAGGATGGCAGCAATCAGAAAAATTGGCATTTTAACATAAAATATCTATTCACAGCAGAATTTCTTTAGAAAAGTGAAAAAATGAAAGTTAGGCTTGCAAGCAAATTAAGTTTCTGATGAGTACTGTTGTTAGCCAAATAAGAAAAGCTGCTCATCAATAGTGACTTAATTAAATCATGTTTGATTGTAGTGCTAAGGAAGTGTATCCAGTGAAAATAAACTTGTTAAATGTTAGGTGAGAACAGTTGCTCAAAGAGTTGAGGATGTGGGATGCTACATCAAGAGTTAATTAAAAAGCAAGACAAATGATTTTGTGTGGTTTTCTCTGGGTCTTTGTTAGTCAACAGATGTTGCTAATGCTGCTTGGTTATGGTTTATTAGTGGAGTCACTGATGAATTTGTGGTGATGGAAGGATGGATGAGCCTCTCTGAATAGACTGTGCGGAATGATCTAAAGGTGAGAATTTTTACAAAGAAAGTAAGAAAGCACTAATTTAGTACTAGCTGATATGGAATCTGTGAAGATGTGTTCAAATTTTTGATGAAGTTACAAAGGGAAATTGTAAGATGTGTAAAGCATATAGTTATGTATTGTTTTATTCATCAGCAGATAAGATTTAAGGAAAATAATCTGAATCTTGGCATGTATTATTTACCAGTGATGTCATTGGTGAACTTCATTTTTTGTCTCAGACTAAGTCTTTCTCATTTCCATGAATTTTTGTCAGAAACTAAAGCTAAATATAGTGACTTGCCTTACTACACAGCAGTTGGCTACTTAGCAGTGGCAAAGTTGTACTGTGACTTTTTTTTTTTTGAGATGGGGGCTGGAATTGAAATTTTTTGAATGGAGAGAACCACTCCTAGCTACTATTGCTGAATGTTCAATGGCTTTGGAAATAACAAATCTTTGCTAAAGATTTGATAATATTTCTTAAAATGAAATGGTAAAATGGGACTTACATGTAAAGCTTATACTACAGTAAATTCATTGTTTGCAACTAATGTTCACATCACAAGTAATCTCCACCTACTCTCTGCTTCATGTGCCATCAGAACTTAAACTAGGAAACACACTCTCCATTCCCCACAGG